AAGGCTGTCGGGAAAGATGCAGACTAAACACCCATCTGAGTCTCTTCTCAAAATGCACTAAACTACAATGCAGGCATTTTTTTTCTAAAAGACTCACTTCACAATGGCAGGAAAAAGAAGAAAAAGGAGCACAGCAACATAAACTTTGTGAGTGTAAGGTGTAAGAATGATGAAGAACAGACTGGGATGTGGCTGGAGGTAGAGGCACTTCCTAGTAGGTGAGGTCCTTGTTCCATCCCCAGCACCAAAAAAATAAATAAAATAAAAATTAAAAAAAGAGTGGGGACTGACTTGGCAAGTCCCAGAAAACTGAGCCCCAAGGCAGTAGGATGTGTAGAAATCTGACAGTGCACACCAAGAAATGCTGACAGTGCTCAGGAACTGGTGACTCCAGGGACCTCTGGAATCCTGCAGTAGGGTGGTGTTAATGAATATGGGTTGAAAGCTTTTCTAGTGCCATGTGGATCAAAGCCTTGCTCTGTCTGCACCCCCAGGAGACATTCATCCCCCTCCTCCCACCCATGGGAAAGTCTGGAGCTTTAGTCTCTAAGGAAGGATAACCAGAATCTCCCCTATTAAGTGCAACTCTGGGAACAGTGGAGTGTAAGGGCACCATCTCTGAAGAGGATCAGGAGTTCTCAGGAATGCTGGCTGCTGAGACTCCTCCACTCTTACCCTCCACCTACACTGTACCTCCAGACTTTTGTCCTCTAGCGAAGAAATTGGAGGGGTCTCTCTGGGGAATCCAAGGAGCCCCACAGGAAGCCTAAAGCTTCAAAGACATTGGAGAGAGGCAGTGCCCAGTGAACAGACTAGCTGGTCATCCTGTAGAGGAGCTCACAGCCAACTGACTTCTCAGTCCCCTGATATCCCCAGACAGCTGAGGGCCGCCTCTAACCTGAATCAGTCAGGGCTTAAGGAAATGCAATTTGGAGGAAGTAGAGATTGCGTGGGGGAGGAGAAGATGGTGGGTAAACTATGATTTATGTTTTCAAGTAGTAAGAGAAGATGGTACATCCATGAAATAAAAACAAGATGTTAGAACAAAATGTTTACAGAGAGGGAACATTCGGAAATCAGAAGCAGACTTGTAGAAATGAAGAATTGTGACACCAGACATGAGAGTTTCCGTAGAAGGCTTGGAAAATAAATTGGAGGAAATCATCAAGAAGATCAAGAAGACAAAGACATGGCAAATAGAAAAGATAGATAATTAGAGGACCAATCCAGAAAGGAAAGGAAGAAATGGTAATTATTATTATAAAAACTAATCATTCAAAAGCATTTCCCAAACTTGAAGTTTCTATCCTGAGTTTCTATCCTGAAAGAGCCCATCAAGCCTCTGATATGGTGGGGGAACACTATGCAGAGACTTGCCGTCATGAGTACTGGTGACAGAAGATTCCACAACTTTCTAGAAAAAAATAAATGTCACATTACAAAGAACTGGGATCATGAATGCCTCTAGAGTGAACTGAAAGTAACGAAGGAAGCAGGAAGATTGTTAAGCAGGAACTTCAAAATTCTGAAATAAGCAATGTTGAGCTCACAACTCAATGTCCTACTCAATATCAATTAGTGAGAAGGTAGAGAAGAATGTGTGACACCTGTGGTCTCAAAACTTTTACTTCCCACACCCTCCTTCTCAGGAAACTAAAGCAAGATGTGCTCCATAATGAGAGGTAGACATGGGATGGCAGAGTGGCCAACACAGGACAGAGGTAACAGGAAGTACTGATGGAAGATTCCAGGAAGACAGCTGTGCCCTAGGGACAGAGAGAGCCTCAGTCCAGGCTAGCACAGGTCCAGGACAGACAAAGTGAAGAAGAGGAAGTTCAGTTAGTGTGGTTCACTATCTTAGAGACAAATTGGAAAAATAGCAGGGTATTTGGGTTCAATCAGGTACATAGAAAATGAAATAAGGAAACTGAAACAAACAATTATTACAATGAATGTGCAGGAAAGACCAGTAGATAATTTAATGTACTACCCACTTAACTCCAAACACAGGCCAAGTATCTCTTATCTGAAGTTCTTGAGACCAGAAGCTTTTCAGATTTTGGATTTTTTTTTTTAGGTTTTTGAAATATTTCCATAGACTTTGCCAGTAAAGCACCCTTAAGTCAAATATCCTAAGTCTGAAATGTTTCAACATCCAGAATTTTCAGAGTTCATATTTTTGGATCAGGAATATACAACCTATAATATAGTGTCCAAATATAATTAAATACTGAACATCTCCTGATACAAATAAATGGAGGGAAAGAAAATGTTAAAGAAGGTAACTAAAAATCTTATTTTCCATAGTCAAGGATCATTAACTAATGCTTGATGTTTTAAAAATTAAGAAGTAGCATTATAAATATGGATGTCAGGACCAGAAAATCATATAAAAGACACCATTAAAACATACAAAGATAAAACCATGACTTGGGGCTTGAAATATGCAGCAAATATGACAAGGAATTATAATCTACTCTATATTCATCTCCTTGTGTATAAGTACATAAAGAATTGCTACAAATAAACTCAAACACATAGATCCCAATTCAGAAGTAGCCAAGGAATATGAATGGCACATCATGGAAGAGGGGTCTTCCATGGCAAAAACGTGTGAAGAGATACCCATTCCCTATAGTCAGGGAATGCAAATTAAAACCAGAATGAGAAATATTTTGTGTCTACCATTTTGGCAGAAGTTAAGTCCCCTCACAGTACCAAGATTGATAGAAGAGAGAGCAATGGTAACTCAACTGTGCTAGTGAAATTCTCACACATGCAAAAGAAAGTACACACACCACATGCACCACACACAGCACTGTGTGCTAAAAGCTCTCCCTCATGCAAAAGCTTAATAAGTGGAGGTAGATATATTCATAGAATGGAACTCCATACAGCAAAGTGATTTAATTCTGCATGTGTCAACATGGGTAAGCCCCAAACATTTGAAAAGCAAGTAGTATAAGGGTATGTTGAGTGTAAAACCACCGAAGGAACATTTTTAACTAAGCAAAGCAGCAGTGTTACAGAATGCATGTAAACACATTAAAAGAGGGACAGAAAAGGGATGTACTCACTTCAGAATAAGATACCTCATACTTTTGTACCTTTCAAGATCTTTTTATTTGAGTTTCTGTTAGCGAGGTACCATGATAGTTGAGGAGAAATTAACTTCTTTGAAATAGTTCATCGAGGAACAAGGAATAACTTTCTATTCATTCACATCTTCTGCCCTTTGCTCATTATTGATCAACTTGTGGAATGGTTCTCCCTGCTTTGTCCACTGGATAAGTATCTACCCATGTAGTGCTGATTAGGTTTTCATGGCTTAAGAATAAGGATTTTCTTTCTCTTGGAACCTGGGTTTGGGATATGTGATTGAAAATGTTTCGTGTTAGTGGATTGATCTTAGCTGGATTCTCTAGGGCTTCCAGGGAACAGAAAGAAGCTTTTGACTCTTCAGTTCTGTTGAATTAGCATATGTGAGTCTGTCTTCTCCACATTTCTCTTGTGTTTCACACTTGTCCCCTGTTGTCCAGGGCACATCAGCACCATTAGAACAACTGATAATTTCAGAAATAAAGAAAGTTGGAACAGCTTGGTCACTGGCAGCAATGGAAATCATCCAGCTTATTAACACTGACAGTGTACCCAACAAGGTGGTGATGGAGCGTAACTTGGCAAAAGGTTGTCTTCAAGGATATTCAGCAAGTGTTCCCCCTTTGATTGCAGGAAGATGCTGAAACTCTGTGGAGAGACAGAGGACAAGTTGGCTCAGGAGCTGATACATTTCGAATTGCAAGTGGAGAGAGACGTGATTGAGCCCCTGTTTCTACTGGCTGAGGTGAGAAGCGTCACGAGGCTTGGCGCAAGTGACCAGGGAAGTGCAGAACAGGAGTAGCCTTGACTGTCTACTTCCAGCCTTATATTGTTCCTGTCCCTACGCCCTGATGCTGTTTTTCAATTATCATGATCCAACTCCATGGTCAGGATTCCTAAATATGATAGCTCCTTTGTCTGTTTGCTGCCGCCTCTGTTGGCATTCAGTGGGTAAAGATGCAAAGCCAACTGCATCACTCCATCCCACGTCTGGAAAGTCTTCAGTGAATTACATGGCAACCCCTCCCAAGGAGCCTGGGGAGCTTGTCTGAGAGCTCTTGTAAGGCCTCTTATGGTTCTTGTTTAGATAGGTCTTTTCTCTTTGGCTTGTTTGTTTGTTTGTTTGTTACAAAATAAGGTCTCACTAGGTAACTCATGCTAACCTCAGACTTGTGATCCTGCCACCTCCTGAATGCTGGAATTATACACCCAGTTCTCTTTGGACTTTAAAGGACACTAAATTAGATTATTTCATTAAAAAAGATAGTTATTTTAATGTCTGTGCGGCAGTTCTGCTAGTTTCCATGAAGTGAAATTTTATCAATGGGGACAGGAAGTGGCTGGGGGGCTTTATTTGCTTCCAACACATGGACCCCTCCCAGTACCTTCATTGGCCGTGAAAACCTGACGGATGTTCCCTTAGAGCTCCCTGCTAGTAGACATTTCTACACTTGCATTGTTTGGTTGTATCTAGCCTTACCTGGTGACCAGCACTTGAAATGTGTAGATTTTTTTCTAATTTAAATTCAGAATTACATAGCCACATGTGACAGGAGGCTACTGGAAGGAGCACCATTGTCTTAGGCTATGTGTTTCCTTTCTGGGCGTCCTCCAGTTCCTGCACATTCCCTGGTACTCTTTCTGGGACAGGGCTGTGGATAAGTAATTGCTTATGTACCTAAAGGTAATCAAAGAGAAAAATCCCTTCTCAGATTCCATCCTGGGTAAGGTCTTCCCCTAAAACCAGGAACATTCATGAGAGGCCCTCTGCTCCTTGTAGGATAGGCTGGTGCTCTAGCCAAAGCTGTAGGCAAACTCAGAGTATGACTGACTTAGAAGCAAAGTCAAGACTCCTTGACAAGACTCTTGGAAGTACCGTGTGCCCCCAGTGCTGCCTCAGGCTCTGTGCAGACTGGCTGCCCACAAACAGCTATGGTGCTCCTTCCTTTGGAAGTCATTGCACTAGTACCTTACTCATCCATGCTCAGGAGAATGAATGAATAGCAAGCCCTTCACAGAACGCTGAGTTTCCTTCACATTCCTTCCTTATATAAAAACTGCAGCCCAAGATGATTTTAGTTCAATTTACGGTCAGTTTTCCTTTTTTTGATTCTCACATCCTGCCCTACTTTTGCTGGGCCTGGAACCAAAATCCTGCACTGGAATGTTGAGAGAAGTAATTTTTAGAAGGAAAACTATAAAAAGAGCATCTCTAGATCACCAATGTGGAAGAACTCATCACTGAGAAATACCATAATGGCTACGTTTATTCATTGTTTACTTTGGGAAAATCTTACTTCATTTCTGTAAATATAAAATTTATGTCAGTTGGAATTCCTCATTGCAACTCAGGTCTCCTGAGACCGGGGGCCTCTCCAGCTTCACTGTTCGTTTTGAGTTAGGTGTGGGTGTCAGACTTGACTGCTTGGCTCTCTTCATTTCTCCCACTTTGGGCCCTTGTAGAACTAGAGGGAGATGCTATTGAGCCTGTTTTGCTGGCTGGAGTAAGGTAAGGGTAGGAGTGTGGTGCATTCCAGGGGAGCACAGAACTTTTGAGATGGTCTTACTTGATGGGGGACCTGATGAGTGTTTACAGAAGAGAGCAGAGTGCAGCTCAGATGAGAAGAAATCAGGCATGGTAACATATGCCTGTAATCCAGGCTATTTGGGAGGTGTAGGCAGGAGCATCATGGTTTGAGGCCAGCCCAGGCAAAAGTTAGTGAAACCCTGCCAAAAAGAAGCAGCTGTGGTGGTGCATGATGTCTGTAATCCCAACTACTCAGGAGGCAAAGGTATGAGGATTGCCATCTGAGTTCAGCCTGGGCAAAGTTTCCACGAGACCCTATCTAAAAAACAAACTAAAAGCCAAAGAACTGGGGATGTGGCTCCAGTGCTAGAGTACTTACTTTGGGAATTTCATCCACTGCTGGTCCAAGGGTACAGTTTCATTTATGCAAGGTAAGTAAATTCTGGAGAGGAAACAAGTATAGTAATGTAGACTTGAAATTTTCTGGGAAGGTGAATCTGTTTTTGTTATACCTTCCCCCCAACACACACATGTGAATCTTGTTTTTACTACACACGCATGCACATGGACAAACAAAGAAAATGGTAACTCTGAGAAGTGATGGATACATTCATTAGCTTGATTGTAGTAATTGTTTCCCAATGTATACATATCAAAATGTCAAGGCATGTCATTAAAACCTACAATTCATTTTTGCTAGTAGCTGTATTTCAATAAAGAGGAGAAGAGGAGGAGAAAGGATTTCATCTGACAGTGAAGATTGGGAGACCTCTAGCAAGATTGCAGTCGACTGTTCTTAAAGCATTGTTCTAAAGCCTGGTTCTCACAGTGTTTGCCTTGTACTTCTGTTGACTGTGTCTCATTCTCTATGATCATAGGTGGAAATCCCAAATATTCAGAAGCAGAGGAAACATTTAGCAAAGCTGGTGCTGGACATGGATTCTTCACGAACCAGGTGAGGTTTCTTTGCTTTCTTTTCTGGTCAAATTTGGGGTTGGGGTGAGTGGGTTTTTATGTGGGTGAGTGCATTTTCATGCACTCAGTGCTTCACACTTACTATGTGCCAAGCACTGTAGGAAATAGTGAGCCAGAGATCCCAGGCCCCTGCTTTCATGGAGGTAGACAATGGGCAGGTGAACCAACAGGACATTTCAGGCTGCCATAGTCATAAAGTAAGGGGTAACTTTGGAAGGGAAAGAACATTGGCATCAGATGGGGTAGAAAAGAGAGGACCATTGTAAGTAGATGTCACTGGTCTGAGACTTAAATGATGAGAAGGAAAGAACCATGCAAGTATCTTGTACAAATTGTCTACTGCAGGGGGAACAGGATGTGGGAATAAATTGGCCTGTTCAAGGTGCAAAAAGAAGGTTGACCTGGTTGGAATGGAAGGACCAAGGGAGAAGAATGGCAAGAGATGAGATCCAAGAGGTAGAATGGATGAAATGTCACATTTACAATGAGGGAAGCATTTCTAATTCTAGGATGTGCTCGCTTCCTGAAGCTGATGAGTTAGATTTATCCTTTCTGTAGGCGTTCCTTTAAACCTGTGGCCCTTCTGAGAGGCCCTTGCCTCTCAGATTCCACCGGACAATTCCTATTGCAGCATGGGAGGGCCAGAGGTCCGAGATGACATTGGTTGAGGCTGTCATATGTGGAGCACATGGTGCACATTTGCCTTTTATTCTTGCAATTTGGTGTATGTTGCATGTGCAAGTGGAACAAATTAGTATGGGGGGAATTATTTGGTTCTACCTTAGGTCCATTGAAGTATTTGTCACCATATCTTATTTTAAGTTCCTTGAAATAAAGAATACAAACAAGATGTACTTGAGCAGAGCGATGTGGGCTAATTCAGAGGATTCAGAATGTCAGGTACCAAGATCAAATCAGGATTTTCGAGATCTGTGGCCTTGGTCAAGTCCTTAACCTCCCAGAGTATCTGTTTCCTCACTTGTGCATGGGAAGCAACAATGCTTGTTAACTAAGGAGGTCGTATTGGATACCACATGAGGTCAAGTATGTCACATCACTTCCCAAGTGCTTTACAAAAGGAAAGCCATACTATAACTAGTTGGGGTATTTGAAGTCTGCAGTCTCAGTGGTATATAGATTCTGGAAGCCAAGAGAAATGTCATTAGGGAGTCACTTGTGGTTCAACACCCTTTTCATATCTTCAGCTTATCATCTTCTGTGTTTTGGAATCTGGTAAGGAAATCTCTACCTCCTATATCCAAATTTCTGTGCTTATAAACTTCAACTTGGACCCTTTACAACCTTTGTTGTTTAGATTAAAGTCCTTTTAGGTTATCTCCATGTAAACCTGATCTGTTATTACTCCAGTGGCTTTTCACAGCCAGCTTTGTATAGTTGTGAGTTGTGGGTTAAGGGATTGCTTTGGAGGGATTACTGGCAGTACAGGCCCCTCAAAGGCTCAGCTAACTTCCCTTCAGGTCTCTGCTTTGGTAACTGGTAGAAGGTCTAACCCAAGCTCCCAAGTGATAGATTTTCCAGTTAAGTTACAGGCTATAGGATGAAAGGGGCATTCTTAGCAAGGGTATTCTCTTTCTTCTCACTTTGCTCTCTAAGTAGTGATTTCTAGCCTGAGTTTATCTGTCTTGTAAGGTCTTGCTCAAAGCTATGAAAAGAAGCCAACCCACCACAGCTTCCTGACATTTCTCCAAACACTGCACCCTTAGATGTAGCAGTGAAATCAGACTCAATTTCAGACTACCATTGAATAGCAAGACTCATAAGCTACTCTCTGGGATAGTTGGGTTCTCAGTGCCCTCTTGCCCCAGTTCCTTCATTAAACCAGTTGCACATGTCAGGCACCCATCCTTACAGCATCCTGCTTGCGACTACCAAGGCTCTCTTTAGTCCCATCCGCCTTTTGTGAACTCTCCAGGGCTAATGTAGCACATTCCACATCTTTTTTTCATTATCAGCACATCTTGATCAATAGTTTCATGACTAGATCTTCAAATTCAACCACAACTCTGGTGAATATTGTCAAATCTAATTTTTCCAGAGTTTAATATGGTCTTAATTAAATGTATGCATTTGCCACTATTCAAGTAAATCTGACATGTCTGCTTCAAAAGGCAATGATACAGGCCTTTCCGTCCTCAGAGAAAACAGTTGCTTAGAAGATGAATAAAAGATTGTAGATGAGAAGGATGGAGGTAGCATCTAGAAAGCTTTACAATGAATTAAAGCTTGTAAGTTGAACTGATTGTGAAAGATGCCAAAATGTCTTTCTTGCCATGGGTTTGGTTTGGTGTAGCTAATGAAGGAGGCCCATTCTTTCCCAAAGTCACCTCACTTTTTCCTGGACATGTATCTCAAGGTTAACCCTTCTGGCTCCAGGACACATTCTGTTTCTGCTGGACAGCTGACTCTGCATCTTATAGACTGAATTATATCCCCTTAAAATTCATGCATTGGACCCCTCACCACCACTGTGACTGCATTTGGAGACAAGATCTTAAATGAGGTACATACGTGGGGCCCTGGTTTGGTATGATTGGTGGCCTTATATATAACAAGAAGAGAGGGACCTTCTCTCTCTTTTCACACACTCAGAGAAAAGGCCACAAGAGTACTTGTTGCTACCTGAAAGCCAGGAAAAAAGGTCTTACCAGTCTTTTAGAACCTTGTTCTTGAACATCCAGCCTCCAGAACTGTATGAAAATAAACTTTTGTCATTGAAGCCATCTATGGCACTTTGGTATGGAAAGCAGACTAATACACCCACCTTCTTTGGTTCATTTTGTTGTTTTGGTTTGGTTTTTTGGCAACACTGGGGTAGTGTGAACTCAGGGCCTTGTACTTGCTAGGCTCTAGCACTTGAGCCACACCTCCAGCCCCACCCATCTTCTTTGGAAGAAAGCAGACTAGTGTAAGGAAGACAGGAGAATCTGGGGGAGAATCACATGAAATTTAAGAAGTAGATATCTAAAATTGGGGTTCTGGAGTCATGGGAGTCTTGAGTACCTGCCCCGAGAGGCCTTCCTCACCTCCCACCTCTGCTTCTTACCACATGTAGGTATCTTTTCTTTAGGTTCCTTTGCTTCCTGGATACTATGCATCCTTCCAGCTCATGTCTTGCCTGTTCCAATTCTACCAATGCAAACCACAGGCTTCCTTTGTCTGGATTTTGCTTAGTTGCCCACTTCCTTGACCTGTCAATCAGCCAAGGTGAGGGAGGACAGGCAAGAGCTGTGCATCAGGCACCCTCCCTGGGCCACTCACTGCCAGGTCCTGCAAAAGAGGGCAGCTCCTTTTTGGACTACACAGGAGAGAAGGAGTAGAAGCAGGTAGTCAAAAAGTGGAGACACCAATGACAGAAGAAAGACTGGACAGCAGAAACGAAGTTATACAGAAACTCCTTCCAGACTTTGTGTCCTGAGCCCATCTTGCTTTTGCCTCCTTTACCCACTCCTTGAAACTCCAGATCCTCACATCTCATCCTTTCATCTGGCCTTCATGAAAACTTGTGCACAAGCCCTGGCTCTCTGTCCCCAGAGAATGATGGTGGCACATTAGCTACTTTTATGGGAAGAAACTCATTCTGCCCTTCAAATTTCAAAGCTCAGATCCTTCTTGGATGATGTCCATTATCCTTGTTGAAGAATATTCCAACTCTTGAGTTTATTTGTAGAACAGATCAGCTGAGAAGACTACCATACTTTGAAATTCATCGCTAGTGTCACTTTTCTCAACAGTTTGCTATCTATATGATTTTCCCAAGTTTCCCTTAATATTTTCTTGTTCGATTTCCACAAAGGGAATTTTATTTTGACATCTTATCGTGACTATGATAATATCAACATGGACTACTCATATTGGAAATAAGATTCCCTATAGAGAGGGTGAAAGTATGTTTTTGAAAGTACAGGAATATTGACTAATGGACCAAATTTAGAAAAAAAAATAGGGAAAAAAAGAGATAACATGGAAAAGTCTTCATTTTAATTTACAGATACTAAATATAATTGAGGTTTAAAAAGATCTAACCCAAATTTGCAAAAATGTAAAAATCAGCTTAGTGATTATAGTCACATATGTATGTATATGTGTTTGCATAATTGTGTGTATAAATGTGTGTGTATAAAAATATATTTTAACACTTATTGGTTGGCTGTTTTTTCTTCAGGTAGCATGAGTCAGATGGTGGTTGTAACTTTACCCTGTAATCACTGTGGAGGAATATTTGTTGTCTTAGACATAAATTACAGCTGTGGCATCTCATCTTTTATTTATAAAAAATGTATAGTGCTTCAATATTTTTATTTAAAATAGCTAATCATCTATATCATTTGTGTAGGGCAAACTTTTAAAAGAAAATTTCTCATGGATTCTTGCTAATCTTTTTCTGCTAACTTATTTCAGCTTAGATTTTAGCAATCACTTCAAATAGAATATCTTCTTTCTAATTTGCTCTAAGTTCTATTTTTTTTATTAGCTCATAATAGTTGTACAGGGGGATTCATTTACATGTGTATTTACAATATATCTTAATTGGATTTACCCCCTCCATCGTTCTCCCTCATTCCCCTTTGCCCTCAGTTCTTATCTTGCAATCGGGAATCTCTCCCAGGGCAATGAGTTGATTGATGTCCCAAAGTCTTTTAGAATTGATTTTCCCATGGCTGCATTCATTAAGTGACAGAGAATCCTTTATTTTACTACTTTTTTCTATTAACAAAGATACCTTTAGTTTTCTTTTGTTCAGTTTCCCTTGTGCCAGAGTCCTGTACTCTTTTGATTTTCCTGAAGATAACAAAAATTGAGTGGAGAAACCCTCTAGTGATCAGCTTCTTGACTGTCAAGATGAGGGAGACGTCCGCTTTTGCCCCTACACCAGAGGCTCAGACCGATGGTCCAAGAGAAAAAGATCCCACAGAGCTGCCTTGTTTCATCCGTACTCTGTTGGTTTGCATGGTGTTTAAAAGAAATCATTTAATCTCTTGTCATATTTCATGAGGGGAGTTCACATAAACTTTCTAATCCTTCCCCCTCCCTTCTGACTTCTCAAGACTGAGGCCAGGCTTGGCTGCTATTTGTCATCTTGACTCCACTGTTGTTTTCTTATAGCCTAGAAATAGCTCTGTATCTCATGTCTCACTAGGAGTAGAAGGTAAGAGATACAGTAGGTTAGTTTTTAAGGTAACAGCCTGTTTGGCTTATTTCCTCCACCTACTGGTCCCCATGAACCACTGAGAACATAGACTCATGACAACAGGAACCCACTTCTGGGCCTTACTTCAACTGCGAGCAACCTTCTAGCATCCTTGGAACATTCCTGCAGGGCCTGCTCTGTCAATTCCCAGTCTTGACATAGCAACCAGAAGTATCAGTACCTCCCCTTGACAGTTTCATGAGTGGCTCCATCAGAAAGTGTTCTCCTCACAAAGATAACTTTTTATGGAAATAGAAATGAGGTGACTGTAATATGCAGTTTCCAGCTTAGCAGTGGAGATTTGGCTTTCAGATTTGTTGAATCTTATTGGCACATCTTCTCACCTAGCGTGCATTTTTGGCTTTAGTCAAGTAGGTGAATTTCTAAAGTCAGATACCTGCAGGGGGTGAAGTAGGGGGGAGTGTAAATGAATGATAGAGACTGTGTTTAAAGACAGTGATAGTTGTTTTGAAATGTATATAATACTTTATTGTTAACTATGATCAACTTCATTAAATTTCAAATATCAATGGCAAAAAATGTGATACATATAATTAGCTTGATTTATTTAGTCTTGCCACATTGTACACATATATCAGCACATCACATTTGTGATTTGTCAGCCAATTAAAAGAAAAACATCAATAGTGGTTGTCATTAGGAAGAATGATGTCAGACTGGGAGGTGCTTGTCCTGTGTGTAGAGCAGCCAAGCCTCAGCTTTAGCCAGTAGTTAGATGTGGGAATATGAGCCTCTTTCTCCTGGCTTCACATTTGGTATCTTTTCATTACCTCTCCATTCCAGAAAGTGTGGAGTTCCCTACAAATGCTACTATTTGTAATCAGGTATATTCTCAGAGTTCCCACAGGATCCCCAGGGCTCTATCTGTCTCACACCTCTCCTCTTTTTCTCCTGTTTTCCATCAGGTGGCAGCAGACTTCCAAGTCTTCAGGGTTGTCCAGCAGCTTACAGCCTGCGGGTGCCAAAGCTGATGCCCTCAGGGAAGAGATGGAAGAGGCTGCCAACAGAGTGGAGATTTGCAGGGTACCTGCCCTCTCTGCTTCTCTCCCGTGGGACAGACTGGGGAGTTCTCAGGGATTTCCTATGTTGTGCACTGGCATTCTCTAATTTTATCAGTGAGTCTTTAGTTAAAGTGTCCCCAAGCTTGCCCCCAAGAGGGATTTGGAGATGACCTAGGAAGCAGCATTAGTTGCCCTTGGGGATCCTGCATGGTAGGTAAAAAGAAAATGACCTTTCTTTCTATGAGAAGCTTTTGGCCACCAAGGACAGTTGAGAATTGAAAACATTAATGAGCCTGACTTACTGTGATATTAAATTGCTTATTTTCCTATTTGCCTTTCAATGCTTCCAAGACACCATACCTATCTGTGCCTCCTGGAAGACACATGTCTCTGAAGTTGACATGTTACTCATAGAGATGGTCACAGAAAAAACAAACCTCACACTTTTGCCGCACTTGTGTTTGAAGTCAGAACTTTGAGCTTGCTGGGCAGTTGCTTTACTACTTAAGCCAGGCATCCACCCCTTCTTGCTGTGGTTATTTTGGAGAGAGGGGCTTGCTTTTTGCCCAAGCCAGCCTGGACCTCGATCCTCCTATTTGTGCTTCCCACAGGAACTGAAATGACAGATGTGTGCCCCTTAGCCAAGCTTTTTCAACTGAAATGGATTCTGGTCAACTTTTTGCCTGGGCTAGCCTTGAACCGAGATCCTCCCCATCTCTGCCTCTTGAGTTGCTAGGGTTACAGGTGTGAGCCACCAGCATTCAGCCAAAAGTCTTCTTTAAAAAATACTTTTTCCAGTAAACAAGAAAGGGTGGTATTAGGGGATGCTGAATGTGAATAAAATTGTAAGAGTTTTATGCATTTTTGTATAGCTTCTTACATTTGTGCCAAAAAAAAATACCTCTTCAAAAATTATAAAAGGGAATATATTTACCATAATGTGAAAAACTACAAAAATATATTATGAGAAAGACCAATAATTTTCTACCTTCCTGCTTCACAATAGATTTCTGCATAAGTACCAGTGGGAGGGGGGATGGTCTCCTTTCCCACTGGTACTTATTAAAATTGTGTGACAGTATACTGTGTTATATGCAAAGTGACCAAAGAAGTTGCAAGGATAAGGAAGGGCAGTATTAGAGGCTGTTTTGTGGCCCTCTGTTCCTTTCTGCATAATCATAAAGGGAATATGATCGTATGCATTATGCATTATCATAGCATCTGGTGTGTTTGTAATAAAAAGCACTTTTGCTACCTGTTCATATTATATTAACCTAGCACCTAATTTTTAAAATTGACACTATATCCTGTTTGGCTACAGATCAAGCTTAGTCTTTTAATAAGCTGTATAATGTCTCATAATAGGGATATATGTGTACATATGTGTATACACACACAAACACACACACACCCCCATGACTTATTTAGCTGTTTTCCTATTGAAGGATGTTTAAACTGTTTTTTTTGTGTGTTTGTTTTTGCACTCCCCCAAAATGATACAGTAAACATCCATGTATGGATATCATTACACCCTACTCATTTTTTTTCCTCCTATGGGGTGGTTTCCCCCAAAATGACATTTTTAGGTTAAAATTTCTGCTTATTTTTTATTTTCGTAGGCATTGACAGCTTACTTCTCTGAAAAGGAAGCCATAACTTACATTCCCACCATCAATGTAAAAACAATTGCACATTTTCCCTCAATTCTGTCTTATTCCTGTTTTCAGTTTTTGCCAGTCTGGGATGGAAAGAGTGGCACCATCTCTGTGCTAGTGTGTTAGTTTTCCTGAATATGACTGATGGTGGCTGTTTTCCATGTATTTATTAGGCGGTCTTCATGTAGCTGTAGGCATTTCCCCGTATGGGGAATTGCCTGTTTGTGTTAGAAATTGAGCCAGTATTTCTGATTTTTTTTTCAAATATCAGTTTACTTAAGTTCTCTATATTTAAAGAAAGGATCGTAAGCTTTTTTCTGCCTGTTGTACCACAGGCACTTTGTTTGTTAGCGTCTGCCATTAAAATCTTAGTCACACACCCAGGCAAAAGCTCTTGTGCAGACCGTGAAGCATCTTCCACTCAAAGTATATACCATTTTTAGACTTTTCTTTGTGGTACTGTATTTTGAACTTGGGGCCTTGTACTTGTTAGTCAGGCACTATACCACTTGAGCCACATCTGCAGCCCTTTTTCCTTTAGTTTATTTTTTAGATAGGGTCTTGTGCTTTTTGCTTGGGCCAGTCTTGGACTGCACTCCTCTTACCTATTCCTCCCATCTGCCTCCAATCACCATGCCCGACTTGTTTGTTGAGGTGGGGTCTCACTAACATTTTGCTTGGGAGGGCCTCAAACTGTAATCTTCCCCATCTCTGCTTCCTGAGTTGCAGGGATTACAGATAATCCTTTATACATATATATATAGTCCCTTTATACCTTAAAAATTCTAAGGCATTTTATATACCTCTTTTATGTTTTGGGGCTTTGGGGCAGGAGGTTACTGGGATACTCAGAGCTTCATGCTTGCTAGGCAGGCACTCTACTGCTTAAGCTACAACTCTAGCCCTTTTTGCTCTGATTATTTTGGAAATAGTCTCTCACTTTTTGCCCAGGCTACCTGAACTGCAAACTTTATATTTTATGCTTCCTGCCTTAGCTGAGATGACAGGTACATGCCACCATGTCCAGCAATTTCTGTTGACATGGGGTCTCATGTACTTTTTTGCTCAGGTTGGCCTGGAACTGTGATACTTCTGATCTCAGTGTCCCAAGAAGCTAGGATTACAGGCATGAGCCACCAGGAACCAGCTCTTTAATGCATTGAACAACCCCAGAAGTTTATTATTATATATGATGTGAGGTAGAGAGTTTTTCTTATTTTTTTTTCAGACAGTAGTTAATTAAGCCAGCCCTAGTTATTAAATTAATACTTCCTCCAGAACAAAATCCTCCTATGTAATTCCTCAGATTTATTTGTAGGCTCTGTTTTATTCATTGTATACAATACTATACAGTTTTATTCTAACTCCTTCATAAACAAATGCAGTCATTAGTAAGGTGACACTTCCTCTTTTTCCATAGCTATCTTAGATAGTTGCTGGTATCTATTTATTGTTTGAAACTTGTGGTGATATTTTCTAGTTAAGGAAACCCTGAATTGTCCTTCAGAATGTCCTGGTGTGTGTGCTGAGCTGATCTCCAGAGTGCTCAGTGTGAGTTTCATTAATGTTTTTTTTGTCACTCTTCTTTGATTTCTAATTCTTTGGTTGCCAACTGTTTTGACTCTTCACCTTGATCTTCCCGCTACTTCTGAGTTTGTGGAATATGGTTTTCCTGATCTTTTTATGACTTTGTGCTTTTTCAGCAGACAACTCAGTCCTTAAGCTTCCCTGCTTTGTGGTAAAAGATCACAATGAAAGTGTACAGACTGACAGTGAATGAGCAGCAGTCTGCCTCCTCTTGTTTACAGAGAGGAGCAAGCAGAACCCCTCAGATCATTGGGGTCCAGAGAGCTTTAAGCTTCCAGGAAAATGCAGTCAAGATGGGTTCTGTGAGATGGAACCTGCTGAAGCCTTAGGTGGACAGCAGGTGTGTCAGCCTCTACCTGCAGACCTTCAGGATCCCATCCAACCAATCTCTGCCTTGCTTCCATATTTCAAATACAGATGAGCCCCACTGCTCACAACTTGTACCTGTTTTCTATTTTCTTCCCAAGACATCTGATAAAACACCCCCAAACCTATACATCCAAGGAAGTATAAGTAATTGGGTAATTTTTCACCAGGAGGGGGAGAAAGTGATGGAGGACTTGTGAACACTGAAGACAGTAATTAGAAAACTAATTTGTTTTGTGTGTGAGGCTGGCTCAGCCCTAGGCTTTTCTCTGGCTGCTGTCTCCCATCACTTAAATTCTTATCCTTGTTCCACCCTCCGCCGTCTTCCCTTCTTAACTTCATCCTCTCTGTCTCTTTTAACTTGTGTCTTTGCCATTTTACTCTTCTCCAATGCAGAATCTTCACTGTTCGAAAAATCAGGCTTAAGTCTAGGGAAGATAGCAGCTGGAAGGTGTGTTTTACATGTCTGTCTCCTCACGTTCTGACTTGAATGCACATATATTGTCAGACTAAACAACAGCATTGAGTCTGGACCTGCAACTCCTCTTATTTCAAAATTAGTGTAATGTCATGGGAAGTGAGTAAATGAGCTCCTAGCAGGAACATTCCTTCCAATAAACGTAGAAGGCTGTGGAATAGTTGAGGAGCACTGGCAGTACTTCTGCCAGCAGAATCTGTCCTACCAGACCAAAGGGTAAAAAGAGCCACACCCATAGGAACCAACCAGTAGCAGGGTTTCCCCTGGTATGGATCTTGTTGAAGCACCTTTTCTGCTTCATCAGACAGTAGTTAACACTAAGGAGACTGGGTACAGTCATATAGTTTTCCTTAAGTGGGACAGATCACATTGCAAAGGTGCTCCCTGGTGTAATGGTTTCACTGAACTCAGAGAGATAACGCCATTGTGGTGGAGAGGTGAAGTTCACTGCAGGCATCCCCTGTGACAGGAGCACATCCTTCACCAGTTGCTGAGTCCTGAAACTGACAGCAGATAGAACTGGGGTTCTGAGAAGATTCTACTTGTGTGGGCAGGAAAAACATGCCCACCATTTTAAGACTTTTAAAAAACAGTCCTACATAGATTATTTTCCTAAATTAGAAAACAAAAGTAAAGTACAATTGTCCCTCAGGACCATGGGGGACATCAAAAATCCACAAATGCCCAAGTCTGGTATATTCAGTAGTGTAGTATTTGTGTATAGCACATGTACATTGTCCTGCATACTTTAAATCATCTCTAGAATATTTATAATACCCAACACCGAGCAATGCTATATATATTGTTGTTATACCATATTTTTTAGGGAATCATGACAAGAAAAATTCTGTATGAATATGCTCAGTACACCTCCAGGGTTTTTGATCCATGATTGGTTGAATCTGCAGGTGCAGAATTCACGGACATGGAGAGCCA